AGAGACGGGGGTGTGGGGGGGTCGGCCCGGGGGAGGGGCCAGGAGGCGGGGAGGGCCGGCGGGCCCCTGCGGGGCGCACGTTGGGCGGCCGGGCGCTCCCCGGAGCCTGTCGCCGCTGCAGCCTCGAGTGAGTGGAAACGAGGGCCGTGAAGACACGGTCGCGCCCGAGTCTGCCCTGTGGTGGCTTTTCCCCCAGGACAGCCGACGACCAATCCCTGTCTCCAGCCGTGAGCTTTGGATGTGAATAGTGGTGATTGATATGCAGCTGTTGACATTAACGTTTTAACTTCCACATGCATTGCTGGCTGCGTTGACGTAAATTCTATTTGCAAAATTCCTAACATTTGGCTTTGGAATGTCAAAAATTGTAACTGCCAGTCCAAATACTGCACAGTTGCAGAATGGCAAATAGTTAAACGCTTTAAGTATTTTGTTTGCATTTGAATGAGAGACTTGCCCGAATGCCGGTAAAACTCGTTACAATGAGAAGATACACAGGTTTTATCAAATACGGAGCACCTGGAGTCTGGGCAGGAGTTGGGGGGTGGGAGCCGTTCGCGAGGGGCGGTGGGAAGTGCACGCTCATGTTTGGTTGCAGGTCAAGTACGGTTTGCACCTTGGAGTTGGCCGTATAGTGAACCACTTGTATCTCAGTTGGAGGTGGGACTTCGTTGGGCCAGTGGTCGTTCGGCGTGGAAGTGACACGTCTGTGTGTGGGGAGGGGGCCGCTGCTAGGCCGGAGGGAGGACAGGAGTGGTGAGGGGTGCAGGGATCAGGTAAGCATGGGAGGCTGCGTTAGGGTTAGCTTTTCGGATTGCGTATAGGGGACGTGGCAAGGTTTTTAGCTGAAGCGATCCTGGAACCGCTTCTTAATTTGAACTCAGGTTTGCAGCGTACTCTTGGTGAATTTATGGCTGTGGTCACTCTGAGGGCCGAGTCCCCAGCAGCCTGCCGTGCGGTGTGTTTCATAGGAGGGACGTGAAAGGCACGTGTCTGGGAGGGGTCTGCTTGTGTCTGAGCCCGGACCTTCAGAATCTTGCTTTCCTGTATGGCACAAATAGTATGTGTTCTTTAAGTTTGTATTGTTTTAAAGCCCTGTGTTCCAGTGGTTGGGACATTGCATTTCGATTTTTGGAGTTCGAGAGAGAGCGGACTCACAGTGTGTGTGTTCTAAGTGTGTTTCTCATGTTAACTAACGCATTCACCCTCACAGCTGCTTCTAGAGTAGGCTGTCCTCTCCCTGTTTCTCAGGTGAGCATCTCAGGCTCGGGGTTAAGTCGTTCACCCCAGGTTGCACAGCTAGTAAGTTGGGGAGCTGATCTGAATCCAGGCAATAGGCTCCAGAATCCTTGTGCTGCGTTGCCTCTCAAGGGAAAATTTTTTAGAACTTACACAGGAGCTCAACAGACAGTTCTGTGACTTAAAGGGTATTACTTGTTACCTGATTGACTTTACTTTTTGGGGTATATTTTTTTCCACAATGGGATGTTCTGCAGTGATCATGATACTAAAAAAACAGAGAAAGCCCTTTACCTGCCCTTTAGGAAGTATTTTCTCATCGATATCGGTGGGATTTCTGGTGGTTTCACACCTGCCATACCTAGAAAGTTAGAGGTCACTTGCTGTGAGCTGAGGTTGATAGATTGGTGCGCTGCATGAGCCTGTCGTGTCCTGGTGTCGGACAGATTTAACCGAGTGCCAAGAACATGTGGACAACAGCATCACAGAGGATCTAGGAAAACCCCAAACGGTTTCTTTCATAGTGCAGCCACTGGGCATTTTGTATAGAATCTTGCATCTTAGAATGGATAAGTTCTGGTATTTTGGAATGGAAAAATTATGGCAAAACTCAGCTGCTTTCCCCCAAAGGGATTGGCAACAGTACACCAGGGCTCTTGAAAGAATTACTTTAAGGTTATGAAACTTTTATAATTTACCTATGTTTTAGTTTTTGTTATCCTTAAACAGCAAACTGTAAAAAAAAAGGGAAAAGGGAAACTTTTTTCACTTAAATAAGGGATCTGTGTGTTTGGCCGGGGAGGGGCACAATCATCATGCCGACAGACAGCGGGCACTTACACTTGAGAATAGAAAGTTCCTATTCTCACAGTTCAAGGGAGAAGACTGACAGCGCCTTGGCCCTACTCCTGAGCTTTGAACAAGTAACGATAGAGCCTATTTAAAACTTGCCCAGTCACTGACGGCCTCATTTCAGTGCCTCTTCCCGAGTCAGCCAGTCTGCCGCAGCCTTCAGGATCCAGCTTGTGAGAATCAGCCAGTGCCTGAACCACTGCTCTGAAAGTCTGAAAGCCCGCCAGTCCCCATTGGCCGTGCTTCTAGAAACCCTGTAATAAGAACAGTGTGCACAGCGTAAGGCCACACTTCTTTGCAAACAATAAATGTATAAATTTAGCTTCCTTCTTTCAGATATATGTGGATGATGGCCCACACCTTAGACAATAAGAAGAAACCCCAAAGGATAGACAGGATAGTGGAACTCTAAGGAGGAAATGAAAGCAAGTCTGATAGAGTGAGTGGAAAGCCTCTAACACACATTGCTGGTGAGGCTTGCTCTGGCTAAAGAAGGCAGTCTGGGCTTGAAAGTGACCTTGAGCTTAGTTTTTGAGAATACCATCATGAGCTTGACAGCTCTTCTGTTCGATTATGCTTTTAGAGCCTAGAACCCAATTCAGTGCATTTTATTTTTAATTATTTTATTTTTACCCATTTCTAAAATACTAAATGATCCTTTAATCTTGCCTTCTCCTGAGCCTGATAGACTTTTCAGATAGAAAACTTGTCTGAAAATGTACCCATTCCAAATCAACGTCTCAAAAACTTCATGTTTCCTTGTTACCCACCCCAAATTCCTCTCTTACATGTGAACCCTTCCTCCTCCTCCCCAGTTAGGTTCCAGTCTTCCTTTTTGGTTTAATTTCCCTTTTGCCAAATATACTCAGACTTTTCCGACTCGACCTCAGTCGTTTTTGATGCTGAGCTCTTCCCCTGTAGCGTCCTGGGCTCCGGCTCTGCGCCTCCGGGGCCCTGTGTGCGTGTCGTGTGGTTCTTGCCCTGTTTCAGCGTGCACCTTTTGTTCATTTATTATAAACATTTCATCTGTGCTGTGCTCTGTGATGGGCCTCAGACATTGCAAATAAAACACGATTCCTGCCCGGAAGTGTAGTCCACCGGGGGAAATACGTATATCCACAGGCAGCTAGCTGCGACATAGCGAGGTGAGTGCAGTGAGAGAAGTACAGGCTGGTCACCCTGGGTATCCCTGGGAGGCCTGAACTGACCCATGGGGAGGAGGGGTCCCAAGAGGGCTGTAGAAGTGGAATTGCTAACTCAGAAATTGTCATTTAAAATCTCATGAGATCCAGAAAATTGTCCTCTAAATGTATGAATTTCAGTTTTCTCACTACCTTCACAACTAGTGGATATTATCAATCTTTGAAAGTGACTGTTTTGATCATAAAAAATTGGCATTTATTATTTCACCAAGTGTTCCTTTAATTCGACTTTTACCAATTTTGTTTTTTGCTTTTATAGCTTACACATTAGAAAACATTTTTTGAGATAGTTCCAGATTTATAGAAAGTTGCAAGCCCAATCAAAGAACTTTTTCCCCTGAATGATTTGAAAGTAAGTTGCCAAACAAGATGCTACATTACCCCAAATACTGTCTGTTTTCCTATCAAGAAGAACCTCCTACATATTCACAGCACAGCCATCAAAACCACTTAATCAATACATTACTACTGTTGAATCCTTAGACCTCATCGAAGTTTTGCCAGTTGTTCCAATAACATTTACAGTAAGAGTCTAGTTAGAATTGTACGTTATATTTAGTTATCCAGGCTCTTGCAATCTGGACCAGTTCCGTAGTTTTTCCTTCCATGATCTTTTTTTTCAAAGTATATAATTCATTGATTTTTAGTAAATTTACAGTCGTACAACCATCCCAAATCCAGTATTAGAACATTTCCAGCATGCCTCCCCTAAATCCATTTGCAGTCACTACCTGTTCACATCCCTGGCCGACAGCCAGTTCACCTTCTGTCTGTAGGTTTGTCCTTTCTGGACACTTGACAGAAACGGGTCAGACAGTATAAGGACTTCTGCATCTGTCGTCTGTCTCTCAGCAGCAGCATCTGAGGCCCACTCGAGTTCCCGCACGACTCAGTACCTAGTTGCTTTTTTATTGCCGGTGGCATTCCGCTGTGTGGCTCCGTCACATCTGTGTATCTGCTCACCACTGACAGACCTTGGGGAGGTTTCCACATTTTGGCCATTGTGAGTAGTCTTACATTGTATGATCTGGATACTTCTAAATATTACAGGCTAGGGTTTTTTTGTTTTATTAAAGATTTTGGGGAATTGGGGGAGGGGAACAGCGTTGGGGAATCGGGAAAGGGGAACAGACAAGCTGCTGTCCTTTTCTTCTTCAGTCTAGTTGTGGAGGACGTCGCTTCACTGGCCCATGTTGGTATTATCATTGCGCTCTTCCCGGGTGAGGTAGTTGCTTGCCGGCCATTGGACGGCCGCTCACGGTGACTCACGGCAGCCCAGCTCCAGGTTGTTCACCATCTTAGCTGTAGAGGACGCAGAGTCACTGGCCCTCGTGGGATCCGAACCGGGGCCCTGCTGCTCAGAGCTGGCGTCCCAAGCCAACTTCTAAGCAACACACCACTCGGCTGGCCCCCAGCTAGGTGTTTTTTACAGCGCCTCTTAATTTGGGCTTGTCTGCCAGACGTCTGTGAGTTACACTTTTTTTGTTGGTTATCAGTAAGTATTTCGTAGGAAAGTGCTTGGAAATCATGAAAATATCCCATTTCTCATCAAACTTACAATCTATTTAAGTAAATCACCAGGGGCTTAAGTTTATATTACCAAACCACCCCAAAACTTTGTGGAATGAAACGTTTTGTAGAAGAAGATCAAGGATTCTTTGGGTGAGGAGTTCAGGCGGGAGTTCAGATGGGTGACGGGGCAGCAGGGGGCTCTGGAGATCTTCCCTCACACATCTGACTGATGGGCACCCGTGCGTGTGGTCTCCACTGGACTAGCTGGAGCTTCCTCAGCATGGTGTCGGGACTCCCGAGAGCGGGCAGAAGTGTGGTGATGTGATGGTTTAGCCTTGGAAGTCACATGGCATTTCTTCTGCCACACTTGACTGGGCGAGGCAGCCACAGCTCTGCCCCGGTTCAAGGGGTGGGAGCCTAGATGCCCTCACTTTCTGGGAGGAGTGTCCAAGTCATATTTTAAGAAGAGCGCGTGGGATGGGAGATATTGTTGCACTTCTTTGGAAAATTCAGTGCCACAGCTTATAATCCGTTACTGTCATTATTTGATGCCCAAATTGTCCCATATTTGGCTTGTGGGAACTTCTTCAAGTTGGCTTCTTTGGAATCTTTTTGACATATACTCAACCATTCTTTGACTAACTTCCTTATTTTCTGGCACAAGGTATTCTAGGATTCTAGCACAAGGTATTCTAGCTTGTCTTTTTCATGCTCCAGCCCTAGAGTCAGCCATCTTTCCAAGGAGCCATGGCTTCTTTTAATGCAGAGTGGTATTTAGAAAGGGAGGTTTGGGCCCTAGTGTGTTCACTGCTCCCGGACGCTGTAAATGCTTTGAGGCTCCTTCAGTGGACAGAGCTATGGAATACACATGATTACAACTTTATTTTTCATTTATGCATATATTAAAAGCAAAAAGGTCACACCTGTACCTTCTTTTCCAGTCAGGTATCACAGGGTTTATTTGAATTTTACGCCTTCCAGATATTTTCGAAACAGCTTTTTGAGATGTAATGTATATACTATACAATTCACCTATTAAAAGTGTATACAGTTCAGTGGCTTTTAGTATATTCACAGAGCTGTGCCACCATCACCATAGTCAGCTTTAAACATTGCCTTTATTCCAAAAAGAAACCATGTCCCCTTAGCCAGCACCGTCCAGCTCTCCTCAGCCCCAGGCAACCAGGACTCCTCTCTGCCTTCGTGTATCTGTCTGTTCTGGACACTTCACGTAAGTGGAGCCATACAGCGTGTGACCCTGTGTGTCTGGCTTCTGTCACTCAGCATAATGTTCCCCAAGGATCACCATGTTATGGAGTGTCAGTGCTTCGTTTCTCTTTAGGGCCACATACTATTCCATTGTTCGGCTACACTGCATTTTATATGTCCATTCAGTGGTCGATGGACGTTTGGGTTATTTGTACTGTTTGGCTATTAAGAATAATGCTGCTTTGAACATCCTTGTACAAGTTTTTTGGATGCATATTTTTAATTTCTCCTGGGTGGAATTGCTGGTTCATATGGCACGTGTATGTTTAATCTTTTGAGGAACCGCTAGACTGTCTTCCAAGTTGGCTGCACCACTTCACACCCCCCAGCAGTGCAGGAGAGATGCAGTTTCTCCAAATCCTTGCCAACACTTGCTCTTTTCTTTTTCAAAAGTACAGCCATCCTAGTGAGTGTAAAGTGGTATCTCATTGTGATTTTGCTTTGCATTTCCATGTGGCTAATATTGTTTAGGATCTTTTCATGGGCTTTATGGCCATTTGTATATTGTCTTTGGAGAAGTATCTGGTCAGATCCTTTGGCCATTGTTAAGATGGGTTATTTATCTTTTAATTATTGAGTTATCAGAGTTCTTTATGTATTACAGGTATAAGTTCCTTATCAGAAATACGATTTTTCAATATTTTCTCCCATTTTGTGGATTCTCTTCACTTTTTGGATGGTTTCCTTGGAAGCACAAAAGTTCTTAATTTTCACGAAGTCCAACTTACCAATTTTTTGTTGTTGCTGCTGGTGCTTTTTGGTGTATCTAAGAATCCATTGCCAAATCCAAGATCACGAAGCTTTACTCCTATGTTTTTTTCTGAGAGTTTTAAAGTGTTATCTCGTACATGGAGGTGTATGACCCATTTTTAGTTAATTTTTGTGTGTGGTATAAGGAAAGACTGCCACTTCGTTCTTTTGTGTGTGGATGTCCCGTTGTTCCAGCATCATTTGTTGAAAATTATTCTTAGTGTTTATCAACTCTGATTTTATATATATATATATATATACATATATATATATATGTGTGTATATGTATATATAATACACACATATATTTATTACAGTTTTGTTTTCTTCCCTTGTAAGGAAAATTTCAAAAATGTTTCAAATTCCTGTGGAGAACCTTGACAACATCAGGAAGGTACGAAAAAAGGTGAAAGACATTCTTGTGGATATTGGGCTTGACAGCTGCAAGGAGTTGCTGAAGGTAAGAGGTTATTTAACAGGTTAAGAGAAGACAGTAGCATTGGAGATGCTAGGGTGGGCTTTTTGGAGGTGAGATTCGAACTGGGAGTTTTGGAATAATGGTTTAGATTCCTCAAGGTGGAAATTGCTAATAATTGAAATGACTGCATGAGAGTATCATTAGTTCTTATTTATGTCTTTCTACTTCAATTGGGTTATTTTAAACTGTTCAAGTTTTTAAAGTTACTTTTATGAGGGGCTTTTTATAGTCAGTTTAAAAACACTGTTGACCCATGAGCAGGTTTGAACTGCATGGGTCTACTTAGCAATTTGTTTTAAAAGTATACAGTGAGCCCTCTGTATCCCTGAGTTTTGCATCTGCAGAGTCAAGCAATGTCAGATGAGAACCAGGATTTTTGATCTGTGGTTGGGAATTGTAGGTATTGGGGGCCGACTGTGTGCATTGTTCTGTGTCATTCTATGTGGGGGACTTAGGCACCTGCAGATTTTGGTATCCACAAGGGTCCTGGAACTCACCCCCTATGGGTGCCCAGGGACAACTATGCCTTTGGGAAGTCAAACGTTACATGCGTATATTCAACTGTGGACAGGGGTGGGGTGGGCTGAGGGTTGGGATCCCTATCCCCACGTTGTTCAAGGGTTAACTGTATGTTCTTGATCTTGGAGGAGAATGTGTCCAGTTACTTATTACTTTGGCAAAAGAAGACCCTAACTTAATTCCCCAGCATGTTAACTATCAACAAATGGTTAATGGGGATGCATATGTAATATGATAGGCTGTTGTTTTTTCTGGTCTTTTAATTTAATACATATAGTCTTGCAAAAGCTTAAAAATTAAGGTCATGGACACACTTTATCAATAAATTGTGTTCTCATTTAATTGTATCCTTTCTTATAACTTGAGACTATAGAGCTGGCATATCTAGTAAAGAAGATTGTTAAATAGGCACAGTGTGTATCCTTATAGCCATTGATAATTCTATGTGTATTTTGCTCATAGCTATCAAAATAGGGACCAGATATGCTTTGAATTTTTTAAACTTGTGAAGAATTTGATTCAAAGTATTATTGGCCTTGGAAGAATGTATTCAAAGGCAATTGTTATATTAACTGTCTTTCTCTGGCTTAATAAATATTTTTAAATATATTAAAAATAAACTTTATAAAAACATTAATAAACTTGTGAAAGAAAAAATACAAGTAATTATTTCTTTAGAAAATAAAATTTTTAAATGCCACATCTACCATTCAGAGGTTATCACCATTAACATCTTGTTTTTTTGTTTGTTTGTTTGTTTGTTTTTTAGCTGAGCCATCCTGCCACCTGTTGGCAGCTCAGCCCAGGCCAGGAATCGAACCGCTGTTGCTCAGAGCTTGCACTCTTGAGCAAGCTCTTAACCAACTGAGCCACTTGGCCGGCCCTTAACATGTTATTGTTTAGCCCTCTTGTGGGTGTGTAAATACATATACAGTAAAACCTTGGATTGCGAGTAACTTGTTCTGCGAGTGTTCCGCAAGACGAGCAAACATTTCTAATAAATTTTAACTTGATAAATGAGCGATGTCTTGCAATACAAGTAGTATGTGACGCCGAATGTCACAAGATCACAACTGAGCCAATGGTTCTTGCTCTCTCGCTGCGGGATTGTGGGTGATCGTCTCCCATGCTCGGTCTCAGGTCGCAGTGTTGGGCAGAAATCAGTGATTTTTCAGAACGTTGGAAGGTGCCCACAACTGGCACTAGTGTATTTTTTGTCGCTTCAAAGCACCTATGGACAATCGTTTGCTTTTCCATACAAGAATAAGCTTAGGAATGCTTTGCTTCATTCTAGGTCAGGCTGCCTGCAGATATAGACCCTTTCCTCTGCTGCCTTTTGCCAGTTACATTAAATACAGTATATGACAAGAGTTTTATTAATACTGTACTGTAGTCAACATTCGTGCGAGTGTATACAAGGGCTCCCATGCAGAAAAAGGTTGAAAAGGCGGTAAGAAGAAGGAGATAATTACGGTGGAAGTTATGAAGGAAATCATCGAGAAGCGTGAATGAGGTATGCGAGTGGCGAAAATTGCAAGATTTGATAAGAAGTCTACGTCAACGATTTGCACAATATTAAAGAGGAAATAAGGGTGCTAGATGCAGCAAAAGGAGTCACAAGAATATCAAAGCAATGGCCGCGTGTTCTGGAAGATGTAGAAAAGTTGCTTCTGGTTTGGATAAACGAGAAACAACTAGCAGGTGAGACCAAGAACTTTATCTGCGAGAAGGCTAAGGCCTTGTACACTGACCTCGTAAGTAAACTGCCAGGTACGTCAACAGAAAACGAAGAAGGCTTCAAGGAAAGCAGGGGATGGTTTGATAACTTTAAAAGGAGAAGTGGCACCCATAGTGTTGTGAGGCACGGAGAGCCTGCGAGTTCGGATGCTAAGGCAGCTGAGGCATTTGCTACCGAGTTCCAGAAGCTTATGGTTTCTGAGAATTACCTCCTGGAGCAAGTTTTTAACTGCGATGAGACGGGGCTTTTTTGGAAAAGGATGCCAAAGAGCACCTACAATACAGAAGAAGAGAATGCAATGCCCAGCCACAAGCCGATGAAAGACGGTCTCACCCTCTTGTTTTGTGCTAATGCAAGTGGGGATTGCAAAGTCAAACCCCTGCTCCTGTATCATTCCCAGAATCCACGAGCCTTCAAGAAATGCAAGGTGCAGAAGAGCCAGTTAAACGTTATGTGGAGGTCCAACAACAAGGCTTGGGTCACTCGCATCTTGTTCATTGAGTGGATCAACGAGGTCTTCGGTCCTGCAGTGAAGAAATACCTTTTAGAAAAGAATCTGCCACTCAAAGCCTTGCTGGTTATGGATAATGCTCCTGCTCATCCTCCAGGCTTTGAGGGCAACTTACTGGAGGAATTTGAATTCATTAGGGTCAAGTTTCTTCCTCCCAACGCAACTCCAATCCTACAGCCCATGGATCAGCAGGTCATTTCTGACTTGAAAAAACTTTACACCAAAGCACTATTTCAGCAATGCTTCGAGGTGACCGAAGGACTAAACCTTACCCTCCAAGAGTTTTGGAAAAATCATTTCCACATTGTGAACTGCCACAAGATCATCGATAAAGCCTGGGATGGGGTCACCAAGAGAACCCTCAATTCTGCTTGGAGCAAACTGTGGCCTGATTGCATTCTTGAACATGACTTAGAGGGGCTTGCTCATGAACAGGAGTCGCCAGTTGTCGATGAAATTGTGTCCTTGGGGAAGACCATGGGGCTGGAGGTGAATGAGGACGACATTCAAGAGCTGGTGGAGGAACGTGGCCAGGAGCTGACCAATGGCAAACTGGTGGATCTGCCTCACGAGCAACAGCAAGAGGTTATGGAGGAGATCTCGTCTGCAGAGGAGGAGGAGAAAACGGCAGAGGAATCCCTCACCTCAGTTGCGATTAGGGAGTTGTGTAAAAATGGGAAACTGCAAAATTTTGTAGAAAAGCACCACCCAAATAAGGCTGTAGCAGTGAGAGCGATGAATTTGTTTAACAACAATGCAATGTCACATTTTTGCAAAATCATGAAAAGGAGGCCAAAGCAAGTGTCATTGGATAGGTTCCTTTTTAAAGTTCCCTGAAAAGAAAAAGATTCCGTTGAACCAATAGATAGCGGTGACTCCGTTAGTGATAGTGACAGTCATCCTACACAACAACCCTCCTCTCTCTTGTCTCCCTCACACCAGCTACGAAGGTTTTCAAAGGTAAGTGCAGGTTAATTTGTTTATTTTTCTTCATATTTTGTATTTTGTTTATTATTTTGTATTATATTACAATATTGTAATCATTTTTATATGAATATTTTTGGGTTGTGGAACAAATCATCTGAGTTTCCATTTCTTATGGGAAAATTCGCTTTGATATACAAGGGCTTTGGATTATAAGCATGTTTCCAGAACGAATGATGCTCGCAAACCAAGGTTTTACTGTATGTGTGTGTGTGGTCTTTACCACAGTGAGCTCTTTTTTTTTTTTTAAATTTTATTGGGGAACAGGTATAGTCATGGGTTACACATTGCTTTCATGCTACAGTGGCATAGTTGGCTGTTTTAAGAAGGGTGCAGCTCACAGTGGCCCATGCCGGGATCGAACCGGCAACCTTAGTATTATCAGCATCACGCTCTAACCAACTGAGCTAACCGGTCACCCTACAGTGAAGCTCATATTGATCACACGTCTTTAGTGCTTGGCATTTTTCCAGTTACCTTCATCTTTCTGTCTTTCAGTGCGTGTCTTGCCTGTTACCCTGTCCACATTCACATTCTCCCATTTCCCCCCAATTCTTGTTACACTTGGTTAGTTTGAACCAGGACTCAGTCTGGACCCCATTGCACATGGTTGCCAGGATCCCGTGACCTTGTCCCCTTGGGTCTTCTTGTGCCCTTGCACGTTAGCCACACCCTTGTCTAACTCGCTCCCACTTGATGCTTCACCACCCGAACCTCTCCTCCAGAGTCCTCAGGCCACAAGTGGTGTCTGCTCACGCCGTTTCCCACGTCCAGAAAGTATTTGTGAGAAATGTCATGTTTGTTTCTTATAAAATTAATATTTTTTTTTAAAAGATTTTATTGGGGAATTGGGGAAGGGGAACAGACAAGTTGCTGTTCTTCAGTCTAGTTGTGGAGGACGTCGCTTCACTGGCCCATGTTGGTGTTGTGATCATTGCACTCTTCCCGGCTGAGGCAGATTGGTCGCCAGCCATTGGACGGCTGCTCACAGCAGCTCTCGCTGGCTGCCGGCCACTCATGGCAGCCCAGCTCCAGGTCGAGCTGTTGTTCACCATCTTAGCTGTAGAGGGCGCAGCGTCACTGGCCCATGTGGGATCCGAACCGGTGGCCCTGCTCCTGACACCTCACACTCCCAAGCCAACTCTTAACCAACGAGCCACTCTGCTGGCCCCTTATAAAACTAATGTTAACTTGGATCATTTCAACCTTTCCCTCCATTTCAGCGGGCTCTCTCTCTCTCAGTGTGCCCATGAGCAGCATTTTCATTTCACTTTTCCCACGTGGATTTTGCAGGCGCTAGTAACCCCATCAGGTTCTAATTCAATAATTCTTTTTCTTTTGAAATTGCGTAATGATTTCTCTTTTTTTCCCTTTTTAAAAGGACCTTAAAGGCTTTGATCCAGGAGAGAAGTACTTTCATAACACATCGTGGGGAGATATTGCTCTCTGGGAATCTTCTGGAAAGAAAGTGGTATGTACTTTTGTATTTGATTTTCATGTTTCCTCCCAGGCTGGGGGTGAGGGTCAGTTTAATGATGAGGAACATCACATGTATTGGGGTTGCTGCTGCATGAATGGGGAGGTGTAAACAAACATTCAGGGAAGCAGAAAGGAAAACAAAGTTACATGTTTTGTGGTAAAGGACTGTTGCTGCTTTGAGAGTTTTCTGTGTATAAAGTTAAGTGATACAATGAAATTATTTGTCCTTGATTATAAAATACAACTGATGTTAGAAGGGCCTTGGATTTATAACTATTCTGAGTAAAAAGATACGCCATGACGTTAAGTCTGTACAATGAAGGTGCATCCTGGTTTCAGAAACTAAAATAGAAATATGGATCTTTGAATTGAGAAACACAGTGTATAATACTTTGAAATCTCAAAACTGAGCAAATTCAGGCTAAGGCATGTGGCACACTGCTGGACGCTCGCTCCTCAGTGTCTTCTCCTGGGGAACCTGCCTCCCTCTCAGCTGTTAGGGTGGCCCCTTCGTCAGAGCCACACTCAGCCTGAACTCTCCCCTCACCCCTTCCTGTTGGCTCAAGTCATGGTGGCCGTGGGAATTGTGGCTTAAAAAAAATTCCTGCAACTAGTCCATCATTGTTCTGTAAAAATTTTCTTTCAAAACCGTGCTTTGACCAGCCCGTCCTCTGAGCCCCCGCTCTGATGCCCGTCCTGTTGCACCTCCAGCCTCTTCCTTCCCTGCCCTGACTCGCCCGCCTGCCGTCAGAAGGGTAGTCCCTGCAACCACCTCGATGTGGTGACAGTTCTCAGAACAGCTCGTGGCTATTCAGTAGGCCTCGCGTGGAAGACCTTGACTTCGTGATTCTTTCCTTAGCCCTCACCGATTGTTCTCATCTCAGTTCTTGAAACATGTCACCTGCAGGATCATATGTAATTATGTGTGCTTTTCATCAAGAAACTTTTTTTTAAATTCCTGCCACAAAGTAGGTAAAACTTTTTGAGTGCTTGATACAGAGATAAAAATTGGGGTTCTTCAGGGGTTTGTTTTTGTTGGGGTGAATAGGGCCTAGGCATAAAACGTTAAATGACAATATGAAATAGTAGATAGTAGAGACTGAATCTGTATTGGAATTTCTATTTAAGATACTGCATGTAGAAAAAGCCGCTATTGTCCGGCATGTTAGAGACTGTGGCCTGCTGCTTCAGTCCCTGATCCTCTCCATTCTAAGGTAGTTTGTGCTGTCATGGGTAACTGTGATTTACAAGCAGAGACAGGCCACAGAGCAGAAATGTTGTGTGACCCTGCTGGATTATGTTGGTCGTGCTACCGGGAGATGCTCAGGGGCTCAGAGAAATGAGATGGTAGACTTTAGGGTCTTGGGGACAGAGACACGCTGAGGTTACCTGAGGGGACTGCGCTGATGGGAGACAGCATACTTTCTGGGTCCAGGACTTCTGCCAGCACCGAACTCCACTTCTTTCTGCTTCTCCTTTTGGTCATGTGCCTCTTCTCTCATCAGGGAACCAAGGCCTCACACACATCACTTCCGATTGATCATTGTCCTAGAAAGTTCACATGTGAGTTTCTGCTTCCATCTCTCCTAGTAAATGCAGGATGTGAGACTGCTGGGTATATATGGGAAATAGCACATGTTTGTCTTTATAACAGGCTGCCAACCTGTTTCCCGATGGGGCTGTCCCACTGGCTTTCCCACCGGCGATGTGAGAGCTCTAGTTGTACGTCGCCAGATGTGTCGGGTGAGGGTGCTTACGGACGCCCCTGTGGTTTCCATTTCAGTAGGTGTGTAGTGTGTGTACACTTCCCCACCGACTGAGGATGGGGAACGTCTGCCTGTGCTTGGGTGGCCTCTGGATACCTTCTTTGGTCTGTTTTCAAAAAATCGGGTCATTTGTTTTCTTATTGACTTGAACATGTCCACAACATGTATTCTGGACATGAGCTCTTTATTAGATGTGTGGTTTATAAATACTGTCTCCTAGCTCGGGGCATATTTTTATTTTTCATTTTTATTTTTATTTTATTTTATTTTTTTAAAGATTTCATTGGAGAACTGGGGTAGGGGAACACACAAGTTGCTGTCCTTTTGTTTTTCAGTCTAGTTGTAGAGGACATCACTTCACTGGCTCATGTTGGTATTATCATTGCGCTCTTCCCAAGTGAAGCAGATCAGTCGCCAACCACTGGACGGCCGCTCATGGCGGCTCTTGGCAGCTCATGCCGGCTGCCGTCCACACACGGTAGCTCATGGCAGCCCACTGCAGCCCCACGGCAGCCTACGCCGTTGCCGGCAACTCACGGCAGCCCAGCTCCAGGTCGAGCTGTTGTTCACCATCTTAGCTGTAGAAGGCTCAGCATCACTGGCCCTCATATGTGGGATCCGAACCGGGGCCCTGCTGCTCAGAGCTGGCGTCCCTAGCCAACTCCTAACCAACGCACCACTCGGCTGGTCCACATCTTTATTTTTTAAAGTGTCTTTCAAAGAACAGAAGCTTTCTGACTTGGATGAAGTCTAATTTGTCTTTTTTTTTTTTTTTTCTGATGGATCATGTTTATGGTGTCACAGTTAAGAAGATTCTCCCCCAACCCAAAGATCTACTCAACACTAACAGATAATACAATTGTTAGTAGGTTCTTTTGGCTCTTTGATTGAGTGAAATTTTCACTGAGAGTATGGTTTTCAGTACGGTGTCTCAAGACACACAGTTTTTTTAATGGTCCCCTAATAAAACTAAAGTGATATTTAAATGGCACCACAGAGCCACTAGTTGTAAAGTATACCCAGATTTCAGAGGTATTAAAGTATGAAAAAAATGGGTCAGAATCATTGAAATATGGGTTTTTAGCCTGTGATTGGCTGTTGCCATAGGTTTGTTATAGATAATACCAGAAATACCAAAGCCTAACTGCTCAGAGGTAGCAACATGCTGCTGAATGTGTTTGGGCGATTTCTCTGACCTGCGACCTGAGGAAAACCTGCGTGACCTAGAGAGAGATTGGGTGACGGTCACAGAATGGGAATGTGTGTGGTGTAGAGAGTGACGGACCATCAGAGCACAGATCAGGGAGGGTGGGGCTTCCCCGTGGCCACTGTGCAGTGAGAGCAGTGTCCCGGCATGGGACGACCTCTGCACAGCCGTGGTGGGGCCACGGATGTGTGCTCAGTCTGTCTAGGTCTCAGCATCGTTCTTGTGAAACCAGGGCCAGCTTTGTTGTTGGTGAGTGGCTTCAGGGTCTGGGGACTGTCATGAGACCACAGACTTCACTCCCTTCCATTGTCACAGACCAGCAAGGTTCACTGGACGTTAGAACGGGCTGCACTCCCCAGGTGGCCAGCTGTGGTTCCAGTGTCTCTTCTTATGCTCCCAGCTTGTTTAATTCCCCATACTTGCCTTAAAGAGAAACTGCAGCCTGTCGGTGCTATATTCTGAAACTTACCTCGGGATTATTCACAGTGACTTAGGCACAGACCCTCTGTCTTTACTGTGTCACATGGTTTCATACGTCGTTGGACTTACACGTGCTCAGCACTGTCCATTTGACTCTCACCTTCCCTAGGAAGCTTCTGTGATGGGGGAAGTAAAAAGTAGTAACAATGGCTTTCACAGTTTGCACGTTGTTTGTAGATGAATTCCAGAGTTTTCGAATTTGCAGTAAAAACAACAGTGGAGAAAGGATGAGAAGGGGAGAAAATAACTTTGTCTGGAAGAGAACTAAGGGTTTATTTTAATTGTTTCAGTTAATTCAAGGCATAGGACTGAGTAATGAGATTGGTGGTTGTAGCAGATGGTTTGGAAAACGGGTCAGCAAACCGAGATGCGGGCTGCCTCGTGTGTGTATGGACTACAAGCTAAGAATGGTTGTTAAATCTTTAAGTGTTTGCAAAGAAAACATGTGAAAAGGATACCGTTTTGTGACATGTGAAAATTGCTTAACGTTTGAATGCTTGTCTGTAGCTTTATTGACACAGAGCCATGCTCATGGACATGTCATCTGCGCTGGTTTATTTAATGGTGGCAGCACCACGGACTCGCCACAGAGGCTGTGTTGGGCGGCCCGCAGAGCCTGGAATATTCTTCTCTGGCCCTTGAAGAAAAAGCTTGCCCTGGCTGAGAACAAACGTTCTCTGAGAATGATGGTGTTAGGTTGTCGTACGTTCGAAGAAAGAGTCAAATACTGTGAACTGTAGGATTGGTACCCATCCAGGGGCTGTGTTAAACTATGAGCGACTTTCTTTTCTTTTAACAGAGATACCGAACGAAGCCATACTGTTGTGGCCTCTGTAAGTACTCCACCAAAGTGCTGACGTCGTTCAAAAACCACCTGCATCGTTACCATGAAGAAGAGGCTGACCAGGAGCTGCTGATCCCATGCCCAAGCTGTGTCTTTTCCTCTCAGCCCAAGGTTGTGGGCAGGCACTTCAGAATGTTCCACGCGCCTGTGCGGAGGGTCCAGAGCTACACAGTGAGCATCCTAGGCGAGACCCGCTCGTCCCGGGGCGACGTGACCAGCTTCACGTGCCTGAAGTGCAACTTCTCCAACACCCTGTACTACAGCATGAAGAAGCACGTGCTGGTCGCCCACTTTCACCACCTCATCAGCTCCTACTTCGGCCTGCGGACCGAGGCTTTGGCTGAGCCCCCGAAAGCTGACGGCAACTTTTCTGCCAAGAAGACACCGCCCCCTGATAGGTATTACTGCAAGAAGTGCGAGGCCAGCGCCAGCAGCCAGGATGCGCTGATGTACCACCTCCTCACGTCGGACGTGCACAGGGATTTGGAGAACAAGCTGAGGTCTGTGATTTCGGAGCACGTTAAGAAGACTGGGCTTTGGAAGCAGCTGCACATCGCCCCCAAACCAGCGGTGCCCGCACCACCCAACGGCAGTGCCCCGGGCGTCCCGGCCACTTCCCCTTGCTTTCATCTTGCCTTGCCGCAGAGCGGTCCAAGCCAGGTGGCCGCTCCACCAGTCCAGGGCGCCGTCCAGCCCGTGACGGTGGCCCCCGGCGCTTCTGGAAGCCTCGCCCACTCCCCGTCTGCTGTGGCCCAGCCCCGCATGACTCTTGTCTCCAGCCCCCTGGCCGTGGGCCAGGGTGGCCTCACTCTGCCGCCCACAGCGCCTCCGCCGGTCTTTCTTTCTCATGGAGTCCCACTGAATCAGTCAGCAAAGCCTCCTGTGTTGCCCCTGACGCAGCCAGTCAGGCCTGTCACAAAGCCTGTTGGAACCAGTGTCCTCCCCATGAACCCGACCATCCGCCCGGGGGCTCTGCCCCTCAGCCAGCCAGTTGGGCCCATAAACAGACCTGTTGGGCCTGGAGTTCTCTCAGTGAACAGACCTGTTGGGTCTGCTGTCCTTCCTGTCAGTCCCTCTGTCACCCCTGGGGTTCTTCAGGCAGTCTCGCCAGGGGTCATTTCTGTGAGTCGGACAGTGTCGTCGGGTGTTCTTCCTGCCGGCCAGATGACCCCTGCTGGGGTGATCCCTTCTGGACAGACAGCAACTTCCGGAGTTCTCCCTGCTGGCCAGATGGTGCAGTCAGGGGTTCTCCCCATTGGCCAGACGGCCCCATCTGGAGTTCTGCCTCCCGGGCTGACGGTGCCATCACGGGTTCTCCCTCCGGGCCAGACGGTCCCTCTGAGGGTTCTCCCTGCAGGCCAGGTGGTCCCGCCTGGGCTGCTGTCGCCCAACCAGACGGTCTCGTCAGGCATTCTCCCTGTGAACCAGGGTGTGAGCTCCGGTGTCGTTCAGCTTGGCCAGCCTGTCATGTCAGGAGTCCTTCCTGTGAGCCAGCCAGTGCGGCCTGGGGTCCTGCAGCTCCACCAGTCTGTGAATCCCAGCATCCTGCCCGCAAACCAGCCGGGGAGACCTGGCGCCTCCCAGAACACGACTTTCCTGACGTCAGGCTCCATTCTGAGACAGCTGATCCCAACAGGGAAACAAGTGAACGGCATCCCCACATACACGCTTGCCCCAGTGTCTGTCACTCTGCCCATGCCAGCTGCGGGTGTGGCCACCGTCGCCCCCCCGCAGGTGCCCATTCAGCTCCTGCCGTCGGGAGCAGCCGCTCAGGTGGCTGGTTCTGTGGCCAGTGCGGCCTCGTCCCCAGTGCTGGTGGGTGCTGCCCAGAGCTCGCTCGTTCCAGCCGCCGCCTCGGTGGCAGAGGCGGGCCAGGCGCTGCGACAGGCCAAGCAGTGGAAGACGTGCCCGGTATGCAACGAGCTCTTCCCCTCCAACGTGTACCAGGTGCACATGGAGGTGGCACACAAGCACAGCGAGGCCCGGCCCGCCGAGAAGCCGGAGCCCGCGCGGCTGGTCGCGTGCGCACCCTTCCTCAAGTGGGTGAGGGACAAGGCAGTGCGCTGTCTGTCCTGCAAGTGCCCGGTGTCGGAGTCCCAGCTTATGCAGCACATGCTCATGCACGGCCTGGGCTGCCTGCTCTGCCCGAGCACCTTCCACGACCTCCGGGGCCTGTGTGAGCACAGCAGGACCGTGCACCTGGGGAGGAGGAAGGTGCCCACGGAGTACAGCGACCGCGGCTTCCAGCTGGACGTCGACGCCAATGGCAACCTGCTGTTTCCCCACCTGGACTTCGTCACCATGCTGCCCAGGGAGGAGCTCGGGGAGCGGGAGGTCCACCTGGCCGTGCTGGCGGGCATCCACCCCAAGTCGCTGGGGCCTGTGTACATCCGGGTGAGGCCCCAGCCCGAGGGTGTGCCCGGGAGCCCCGGCCAGCGGGCGCTGACCTGCCCCTTCTGCTTTGGCACTTTCGGGATGCCCGAGGCCTACGAGCTGCACCTGAAGGACAGGCACCACATCACGCCCACCGTGCACACGATTTTGAAGTCTCCGGCGTTCAAGTGCATCCACTGCTGCGGGGTCTACACCGGCAACATGACCCTGGCCGCCATCGCCATCCACCTGCTGCGCTGCAGGAGTGCCCCCAAGGACAGCAGCCCGGACCTGCATGCGCAGCCGAGTTTCATCGAGAACAGCGACCTGCTTGTGGTCAATGGCGAGGTCACACACGACTCCAGCTTCTCTGGGAAGAGGAAGCTGCCTGATGGCCACGCGGGGGCAGAAGACCAGCAGGCTGGGGAGGAACGGCCTCTTGTCATAAGCACCGACGCGGACCCTGCTCCGGAGAAGGCGACCAGTGTCCTGCCCTTCAAAAGACAAAGGAACGAAAGCAGGACGGAAGGGCCACTGGCCGTCAACGATGACGCGCTTCAGCTCTTAGCGTTAAACCCAAAAAAATACGAAGACCGTTCTTACGAAGAAAAGAAGCAGTTTCTCAGAGATTACTTCCACAAGAGACCATATCCTAGTAAAAAGGAAATAGAGCTGTTATCCTCACTGTTGTGGGTGTGGAAAATTGACGTGGCTTCATTTTTTGGAAAAAGGAGATATATTTGCATGAAAGCAATAAAAAATCACAAGCCTTCTGTACTTCTAGGCTTTGATATGTCTGAACTTAAAAATGTTAAACACAGATTGAACTTTGATTACGAACCACAAAACTCGTAAAAAGTTTATGAAATTAGTAGTTTTTTCAATTGAGATTTTAAAAATGTTAATTTCCTCACTGTATGTTGAACTAATCAATTTCAGTGGTCTATGCTGCTCCTTAGATGTATTTCAGGTGCTCGGCAGGACTTCCGTGTGAAGAAGTGATAGTTCTTTTTCAAAGTCATCGTTTCTTGCGGTTTGATTTTGCCATAATTAATTTTAGTTGTTTCCTTGGCCAGGTAAATCAAATCTTTTGATGTTTCATGCACGTCTTGTTTTCCCAGTAGTGTCAGTATCATACGATAAAAACTGAAATCTACATATAGTTTTTTTTTTTTTCATTTAAGGAAATCTCAGCTTGTTTCAGAATACTTAATGAACTACAAATGTGAGCTGAGATCTCCCTTCCCTCTGCTTCCCATGTAGCTGCAAATGATACAGTAAATGTTTAGAGAAGCGAGTGTGCACCTCAGTAACTTACGCTGCTTTCTTTGTAAGATATTTGCTTCTTGGATTCTGATTTTCATTTTCCTTTTTTTCAGGTTTGATCTAACAGCTGTTTTTGATTATCACTCATAGAAAACCAAATGTTTTCATGTGTTAAAAAATACACTGAACCTGAAGTCCAGTATTTAGCTCTAAGTCAAGAGTTGTTTTACAAATAAAGTAATTCAGTATAGACTTTTCAGTGTAGACTTTCCCTTCTTTTTGATATGGTGATAAGTCATTTCTCCGTTCAGAGGTAAGACAGTAAATCTTTAGTGCCTTTAGAATAAACACACACACACACACAGCCACACCCTCTCCTCCTGACCTAACTGTTCATAACCAGTGAAAGGGAAGAACTGTGTGACTCAGGAATGAAATTTTTACCCCTGAGTGTGGGTGCTGAAATGTAAGTGTAGGTTTTTCAGGGGCAAGAGGAAGTCTCCATGGTTGGTCTGTTAATTTTTGACGGTTTCCTAGAAGTCAGCGTGTTCGTATGGGGAAATGGGCATCCACACAGCCCTGTGTCCGGCCGATGGACTCCACTGTGTTAGCGTCCTTTGAACCGTTACACCTCGTGTTTCTGTTACTTTTTTTGTGTAGTAACACAATATAAAAGAACTGAAAGCACTAGAACCAGCGATGGAGACCAGCCAGCTCAGACCTTATGTCATTGCTGGGCGACACAGAGGCACCTGGGCGATGCCTTCAGAAGGTGTGATGTCTCTGGGAAATGAAATGACGCTACTCTATGGGTTTAAAATACACTTGCATGTGATTGCTACAATGTGCATTTTCGAAGCAATTGTGAACCTGGTCTGTGATTGTCGGTGTACTCTGTTGTAAATTCAAAAAGAGCTTGTTGAAGTTTTTTTTTTTTTTACCTATTGTTTTCAGAGTGTCTATTTTGAATTAAAATTTGTTACACCACTGCAAATAGAACTGTCTAATTCTTTTAACAGTTAAAACGTCACCGTGACTCAGGAATAATCTCAACGTGGAAATAGATGCCATGTTTGTTTTCTCAAAAACATTACTTGTCATTGTGAAAATAGCTCAGCATAACCCCAGAGGGCTAATTCATTACCAGGCGTCATGAAATAGACGTGGCTAGACTTTCGTGACGCATCTGTACCCTTGGCCCCCAAACTGACATAACGGAATCGGCCTTTGTGGATGGAGGCTGTGCTCCTGAGTGGAGGTGGCCAGCTCTGGGGGCTGCTCCCAGGGCAGCGTGCTGTCGCATTGGTCTAACCCCCCTGCTGCAGCTGTGTACATCAGGGTTTCCATTGGCATTTGGGGCCTGACAATTCTTTGTGGGGGCCACTGCCCTGGCCACTGCAGGTCTGGAGCAGTGTCCCTGGCTTCCCAGGCAGCACCTCCCCTGCCCCTCAGTCGCGACAGCCAAAAGTGTCATTGCCAAGTGTTCCTGGGGGGTAGAATCAGCCCTGATGAGAACTGCTGTGAAAGGAATTCTGATATAATTGTATTTTAGCTACAGCTCAGCTGTTGATGCTGAGTCTTCTTAGATTATGCTGGTTACTAGTTGTTAAAAAATTGTTTACGCTTATAAGTTTAGGCAAAATTTGATATAAGCTGAACTTGTATTAACTTGGGAATGAAAATTTTATCTACTAGATAACTGATAGAAAACTGTTTTTAGCTTTAAAAACTTAGGCTGAGTTTTATTCTCATACTGGTTACTATAACTTGAATGTTCTGAGAACAGTTCCCTTTCCATGGTGTTGACAATAAACAGCTAGGCGTCACACATTCCTTAACAGGGAGCTTTACTGTGTAGCGCAACTGCCAACTCATGCGTCAGGATTCAGGCTTCTGTTACGCAGTTAGTGACTCTCAGCCTTAGACTCTAATTTTTGATGGTTTGTCCTCATTACTATGTAGTCTTTAACTACAAGTGTAAAAATCATTTGCACAATAAAGCTGTTACATAGGGACACTTGTCATATTTGTGACTGCCATGAGAACAAGCAGCTAACAGCTCTGCCCCGTGGTTACTTTCTTTCAAATTCTAAAGTCAAGGTTTCTTAACTTGTGATCCATGAACCATATGAGTAAAAAGTGTAAACATCGACAAAAGTGTAAGTTTAGATTATATCAGGTTTTTCACAGTGTGATGAGAATTTACCTGCAGTCAACCTCAAAGACCTTGATAATGACACATGAAAACAGCCTAAATCATACGCTTGTTTAGGGTCTGCTATCTGGAAGGGCCACCTCATAAAACACGAAAAATCTGTTGTATCTGATGGTGATCTTTACATCCACCATATTGTCAGGTTGCAAACAAATCTAATACCAGTTGTCCACACAAATGATCTAGCTACACTTTTTTTTTTTTAAGATTTTATTGGGGAATTGGGGGAGGGGAACAGACAAGTTGCTGTCCTTTTGTTCTTCAGTCTAGTTGTGGAGGACGTCGCTTCACTGGCCCATGTTGGTATTGTGATCATTGTGCTCTTCCTGGGTGAGGCAGATCGGTCGCCGGCCACTGGATGGCTGCTCACGGCAGCTCTTGGCAGCTCACACCAGCTGCTGGCCGCTCAAGCTGGCTGCCAGCCGCTCGTGGTAGCTTACAGGAGCCCACTGCAGCCTATGCCGTCGCTGGCAACTCAACGGCAGCCCAGCTCCAGGTCGAGCTGTTGTTCACCATCTTAGCTGTAGAGGAAGCAGAGTCACTGGCCCTCATGTGGGATCCAAACCCGGGCCCTGCTGCTCAGAGCTGGTGCCCCAAGCCAACTCCTAACCAATGCGCCACTTGGTTGGCCCCTTGCTACACATTTTGAGAGGAAAAAATATATGCATGATGCTGCTAAATAATAGCTAAGTGTAGTTTTTCACAGCCTCTTAAGGAAGGTGATCCCCAAACCTCTTTTCTTTATTCCCGCCCCCCCACCCCATAAACCATGAACAGTGTACAATCCTGACCCCAGACCAGCTACCCAGGTTCCCATCTTACTCCCAGGAGCTCTCAGGCCCATCTGCAGCCCCGTTTCTGCCTAAGAATTCGGTGTTGGGAGGTTTTCTGACTCTTGGGGTGCGGCTCCTCCCCTACTCAGAGAATGAGGGACGGGGGACAGAAGGATCTGCAGAAATGGGTTTTATGTAGTCAGCTTTCTTTTGGGCTTTGTTTTGTTCTGGTCTGTGCAAGAGCTGCAGCTTTAGAAATCGGCTTTGCCTTTGATTAAACCACGTCCTCGCCAACCAAAAAACCAACAAAAAATCAGAAGCAGTGTTATTGTTTAAACAAAAACGTAAAATCCTTTCAGAAGGGAAGTGTTCCAATAAAAATGGTAATTGTATTAATATTTAAGTTATAAACCAAACTTCAGCAATGAAATAGGCATGTTTACTATGAATAAACTAAGATTGTGTGGTCATACTTTCAAATACAAATTCAGAATTGGTTGTCATGAATGAATGTATTTTTTCAGACATCAGTTCCTTAGAGTTTATAATCCACAATATGGACAGTTTAATGTTAAATAATTTTACATTTACCTAAAGGTAGAAAATTGAATAGTTGCAATGAATAATAATGCAATGAATAATAATAAAGCTTTAATGAGTTCAGTAGTTTTTCTGAAGACAGTTTTCCCACGAGTGCTGGAAAGAGTTTTCAGGCCAGATTTCGAGTTAAGGTCTTCTCGTTACAAGGCAAGTGTCCTTGACCTAAAAAGCACAGGAGATTCATCCATGGTTTGCTGTCTTGGAAGATGTCTTCTGAAAACAATGGGGAAACTCCTAAGAGATCATTTTAAAGAAACTGCATTTTGCATGGGAGGTGATTTGGGGTTATTTTTTAAAAACTAATTTTGTGTAGGTTTTACAAGTACTTTCGAGTAACTATATAGAGTGACTAGGTAGCCAGTGAGGCAACTTACAGTAAGCGATGCAGGGTTTAGGAACAGCCCTGTGATGAGAGGCCTTCGACGTGTCCTGTGCGGAGGCTCGCCTGGGTCTGCGTCGCAGCGGTGTCTGCTGGGCTGCTGCTTTCCCCCTTGTAGCTGACTGTGGGAGGCACTTGAGATGATGTAAATACCCTCATCCTCATTAAAGTAAAACACGATTTGTGTGCACATTCTTACAGTTGTCAGTAAAATTATTTTATAAAAAGTTAACCATGCAGATAATACTGCTGATCTTTCTTGCTAAAGCAGTCAGCTATCTTTGGACCAAATTTCCCTGGAAGGTGCTCAGTACATTTGTCTGCCTCTCAAAGCTGATATTGAACTAGATGCCATGTCCAGTGGTAGAAAGATGCTAATAAAAATACAAAGGGCAGCTTGAGAGCCAATGAAACAGGGTGAGCGGCCTCCGCGGTTGAACACCTTCCTTGTCAGTTTACTGCAGTCAGCTGTCCACGTGAATCTTTCAGAAGGTATCAACGCCTCACGTGTGCCGAGCTCACGCCTGCCCCATCTCAGTGGCTTTAATGTACACGACGTGCAGAGTCACCACAACTGTAAAAGCTAAAAAGAAAGGGTGAGGATACAATAAGCCACTCTGCCTCCTGGGCCTCGCCTGGTCGTGCTTCGCAGATGTGTTTTCAACATTGAGAGGAGACCCTCCACCAGCAGAAAGGTGACGACTCGCAGAGGCTCAGCTGACGGTTAGCATCTTTTAGCAATAGGGCGTTTGTAACTAAGGTATACACATTTTAAAACCCATAATGCTATTGTGCACGTGACAGACTGCAGTGCCGTGTAGACATAACTGCTGTGTGCACTGGGGAACCACAACACTCGCACCAAACTTGCTTTATCGGGCCTGCAACCAACACACAGCATCCCCCAGCTCTGCCTGCACAAAATCTGGGGGTAATGTGGCCTTCATTACTGCGTTACATTGTACGGGTTTCTCAAATTTGTCAAATTTAGTCATTAATGTTGCACCAAAGGGTTCAAATGACTCAGTCCCTCATCCCTGGAGGCTCCGGGGTTCACACAAGCAAGTGTGACTTGGGTCTGTATTTATTTCTGTTGCTTCAGCCCCTCCCCGCTTTTTTGTTCTCAGATTTCACTAGTCCCCACGAGTGAGCTGCTGTGACGTTGCTATTGGCTGAGCATGGACTGCCTAAAACTTGAACATTTGATCTCTTGCCAGGTGCTAATTACAAAATTATAACCTGAAATGACAGTAAATAGATCAAATAGATTTTTCTGTTGTTGCTGCAAATTCAGTTGGCATCTGAATGTGTGGATAGCGTAGTTAAAAATCCAAATATGTTGGTCATTTATTTTATTTTATTTTATTTTTAATTGGGATGGGAACAGTGCTGGGGAATTGGGGGGAAGGGGAACAGACAAGTTGCTGTCATTTTATTCTTCAGTCTAGTTGTGGAGGATGTTGCTTCACTGGCCCAAGTTGGCACCATCATTGCGCTTTTCCTGGCAGAGGCAGATCAGTCGCCGGCTTCTGGACGGCCGCTCACTGCGGCTGCTGGCCGCTCACGCTGGCTGCTGGCTACACATGGTAGCCCAGTGTCACTGGCCCTCATACGTGGGATCCGAACCGGGGCCCTCTGGCATCCCAAGCCAGTTCTTAACCATCGCGCCACTCGGCCGGCCCCCAGTCATTTAAATATATGACTCCATGGTACTGTTTAAATCACGGCGATGTTTGGGATAAACACCAAACACACCGTATCTAACATATCCACAAACGCAGCAGCTCTCGTCAGGTCTTTGAGACTCATGTCGAAAGCTTTGGTCTGTCTGTATAAAGAAACCTTAGTTTAGGATTAACTAAATTTGTGAATTTAATTTATGAATAGAATTTTTTTGAAAAGCTTTGAATGAAAAGAATACCACTGATGAACTTGATAATTTCAATAGCAAAACTTTTCACATGAAATACTTGTTTTTGATAGAAGTTGCTTAATGGAAGTAAACATTAATTCAGCGTGAT